CAGGCACTTCTTAGCTGTGGGGTTTTTGGGTTATGAGCCAAGACAGACGTGGCTTTGTAACCCCCGAGGAGTTGACAGTTGGTGGAGAGACAAAGGCTAGTGCCTGTGACTCAAATGTACAGAACCGCATGCCAGCTTGTAAGAGGCAGGGGTCCTGCGTCAGGTGAGGGTCAGTGAGCTCCCTGAAAGGGTGAGGGACACACAGGCTGAGGCTTGCTCTGAGCAGCCCTCTATCTGAAATCTCAGTCTGAAATCACCTTCCTTGGTTCAAGCTTCCCCATATCTCTTTACTCTGGGTTTATTTTTTCCATAAAACTATTTCCTCCCTCTCTCTCTCTCTCTCTCCCTCCCTCCCTCCCTCTCTTTCTCTCTCTCTCTTATCTATCTACCTACCTATTTATTTTCTATCCCTGCATCCAAAGGGTCTTGACTAAGGCTTAAGGGAATGAGTGGGGGTGTGAGAAGGATGTGATAAGGAGAGAAGGGCCAGGAGGGATGTGGAGTGTGACTGGGAGGTGTATGTCCCTCTCACCCTCACCCTGTTCTGGAATGTTGATTCAGAGGTGTTGTCTCCTTACAGAGCCATCCTGGGGGCATGCGTGCCCCTCACTAACCTAAATGATAAACCGTTTAGCAAACAGCCCCTTTGGCTTATGCCAGAGGGACTGGGACGTCACACCTGGTGTCTGGGTTTCTCCTGCTGACGGTCATGCAGGAGGACTTCCTGGATGGGGCCCTGGGGTAGAAAGCTTTGTGGGCTCCTTCCCCTAGGGTAGCACCCAGCCCAGGAACGTGTTCATGTTTCCTGTGCACTGTGTGCTGACGGCAGCGATGGCCTATCACCCTTACGTGACAGCAACTGGGTCAGCAGTGATGCTGGTGATGACACGGCCAACAAGAGACTGCTCTTTGAAGATTGAGTCAGTGATGAGCGGATGAATGGAGATGGGAGCCCAGGCTCTCCTGGACCCACAGAGGCAGAAAGGCAGCTCCCCCAGGAGTTGTGGAAGCAGGGGTCTTAGGTGGAAGCCACATGGGTGGATTCTCAGCTCCACATTGAACCTGACCATGGGAATGCTACATGGAGGCTGGGCCCTGCAGGCTCTTCAGGAGAGATGGTGGGGAAACCAGGAGGGGCTGGAAAGGGAGGGTCACAAAGCCAGGTTGGGGGGCTGGTGACCAGGAGAATCCTGAGCACCTGGGCAGCTGGTTGTGGTTGTGTGTGTGCCCCGATGGGTACCCAGGCAGTCAGAGCTCTACCTCAGAGTTTATCTCCGTTGACTGTCTCCCGTGCATATCACCATGGTTGTCTTTTATTCCACTTTTTAAACTGTGAGTTGAGTGAAAATGTAAAGGGAAAACTTGGCTTTCCATTGAACAATTCGTATACGTTGTGTTGACTATAATCCTCAGAACGTAACAGCAGCTTCCCAATTCTGACCTTTGTTTTCTGTTTCATCTGTCACTCTTACCCCTACTTTCTTAGCTTTATTCCTAGTAGACTGTTGCCCCTTTGAACTCATATGATTGATTTTTTTTAAGGCATGCATTCTTCCCTGGTATTATTGACCACCCTGTATATTTCTCTAGTGTTTGGCTGGAAATTGAATCATGAAGATGATTTAAATTTTAGACATGAATGGTGATTAAGGGCCAGTCTTGGAGGTTCTATCAGTCTCTTATCTGACCTGTAAGTCTGGTTGATGTTATGATTTTGAGTTTTGTTGCACATTTTTTTTCTCTCCTATTTCTGTCCAGGCCCTTCTATTGTGATCCCTCACACAACAGACAACGTTGCTAGCTGGGCACCATCTAGTTCTGCTGGTCTCAGAGTCATGGAGAAGCAATTCTTGAATTGGAATTGAACCTCCCCTTTTCTTTGTCTTCCTCCCCACTCACTTCCCATTTTTCTTTTCTCTTATTTTCCAAATATTGAATTGAATTGGAATTGGAATTGGCAAAAAGCACTGGTTCTTTTAAGTTTTTTTAAAAATTATTATTAATTTTAATGAATGCTTACAGAGACTCCGGATTTCCATTCATTCATTGTTGCACTTTTCTCCCTGACCACTCCTCCCCCCTCCACAGTTCACTCTTCTCTTTAAAAAGTAAAAATTCTTTCATTGTTATACATCCCTCCCCTCAGTCCACTCCACTGTGCAGCCTTCATTCTGGACTCCTGTCATGACAATAATACCGAATCATATATCCCTTTTAAACAGTTTTATCCCTCATCTATTTCAATGTAGTATACATTATTTATCTCATTTTTCTCAGTCTCCCCCTAACCCAGATGCCAGTCCTGTTTTACAACAGTGGCACTATGCATTATTTGTCCTTTTGTGACTGAGATATTTCACTCAGCGTAATATCCTCCAGGGTCACCCATTTTGTATAATGTTTCATGAGTTCTTGTTTTTCAAAGCAGCGTAGTATTCCATTGTGTGACTATACCAGAGCTTCTCTATCCATTCATTTGTTGATGGGCACTGAGGTGGTTTCCAGCTCTTTGCTATTGTGAACAAAGCCGCGATACACATGGGTGTACATAAAAGCACTGATTTAGGATGACCACCACTTCCTATGCTAAGATCCCCATTGAAGGCTAGGACCACTGTGTTGTCCACTATGGAACGCGTCACCTCTACGGCTCATCCTTTGTTTGATTAAGTGCCAAGTGGCTGCTTCCCCCACAAGACAAGAAGTTCTCTGAGAGCACGGTCTCATCTCATTCACAAAGGGGCTCTTACCACCCCTGAGGACAGTGTTCAGCACACAGTAAACACCTAATAATAAACAGACAAGGGGTGGGGCAAGCAGGACCTCCCCTTTTCTTTGTCTTCCTCCCCACTGACTTCCCGTTTTTTCTCTCGTTTGCCAAGAATCTGCCCTCGTGATAGCTGAACAAGCTGTGATTGCCAGAGTTAGCAGATAAACATGCAGGGCATCCTGCTAAATTTGACTTTCATCTAAATAGTGAAGAATTTATGATCTAATAGTTATATATTTGTTTTCTGTTTATAAAAAAATATTCTTTCTAAGACATGCACTTTGCAAAAAAATAGAAAACTTGGAAATGATTTATAATTGTATATAAAAAATAATCTGACAACTCTAAATCACATGTGTCAAAGTATGTCTGACCCAGCTGCTGATTCCTCACCTGATGGGGGAGCTCTAAGCTGCTCCTTCCTTCTCTGCTTGGGGTAACCAGCTTCGTTAACAGCAGGCATTGTTGCAAAAGTGTGGGTGTCTGGCCCTAACCCAGTGTGGAGTGAAGCGGAAGACCCACATTTCTAGCTGTTAACAGTATGTGCTGGAGAATTGGGCCATTCAATAGAGAAGGGGATTGATGAAACTAGATGACCCAGCCTTGGGCCAGGTCCTTTATACATAACATTTCAAAATGAACACACTGTCTTTGTCCCGTAGCAGCGACCCATTGTTGACAGCCCCCTGGCCCATCTCACTGAATCCACAATCCACACTGAATTCCCTACCAGGACGGAGGGGCTATTTCCGTTTCACAGGAGGAGCAGTGAATAGGAAATGACAAGCGGCTTTTCAAGATCTTTTGGACGGATGGGGAGTGGTAGAGCCAGGATTGAAACCAAGTCTGACAGAACAGGAGACTTTCCAAAGTACTGTACCACTACATCTTTTCCCAGTGCTTCCTTGATTTGCCCAGGAAAGAAGCAGAGCAGGATAGGGAAGGAGTACAGGAGGAGGAATTAGGAGACACGTGTACTAATGTCAGTGAATCCTTAGCGAGCTTGAGTGTTAGTCATCCTGTTCATCCACCAATCCATCCACTCACCTGTCTGTCTGTCCGTCCATCCATCCATCCATCATCCATTCTTCATTCAGTCTTTCCTTCCCTCCTTCCCTCCCTCCCTCCCTCCCTCCCT